GTGTCTGTCTGTCACACTCTGTCTCTGTGTGTCTGTCTGTCGCACTCTGTCTCTATGTCTCTGTCTGTCTCACTCTGTCTCTGTGTCTCTCTGTCTGTTTCACTCCGTCTCACTCTGTCTCTGTGTCTCTGTCTCTCACTCTGTCTCTGTGTCTCTCTGTCTGTCTCACTCTCTGTGTGTCTATCTGTCTGTCTCACTCTGTCTCTGTCTGTCTCACTTTGTCTCACTCTGTCTCTGTGTGTCTGTCTGTCTCACTCTGTCTCTGGGTTTCTCTGTCTGTCTCGCTCTGTCTCTGTGTGTCACTCTGTCTCTTGTCTGTCTCACTCTGTCTCTGTGTCTGTCTGTCTGTCTCACTCTGTCTCTGTGTCTCTGTCTGTCTCACTCTGTCTCTGTGTGTCTGTCTGTCTCACTCTGTCTCTGTGTGTCTCTCTGTCTGTCTTGAGTCTCTGGGTCAGTCTACAAAACTGGTGGGTTTCTGTGTAAAAAAAATGTAAAGACTGAAATGATGGCGATAGGGGTGTGCGATATATATCGTTTACGATAATATCGTAATTGTTGTTTAAATGATATGCGATTTGACATAATTAAGTATATCGCTAAAACCAAACAAAATTCAAGATAAGGGGGCAAGTATTTTTATATGTCTTTTATATTTATCATCTGATATAGTTAATATCACACGAAGAGTAATGTTTTTCTCCAAATATCAGAGCGATTGCATATGTGATATTGATTTGATGAACAGTTCAATAAACAATAAGTTATTATTAAGTGACTTACATTTTAGATGGAACAGTTCTTGTTTTTGCTCAATTTCGTCAACAGAAATAGTTCCAAACAAAGCCACAGCAGAACTGTTTTGCGTCTCTGAGCAACACACAGCAGTGGTTCATTACTGAATCAATCCTCTGTTTGAACGAATCAGTTGAATGAATGACTCAGTGACTCACTCATGCAGGTATTTGCAGCCACCACTGATCTAGAGAATATATCATTATTATAGATATATCATATATAGATCAGTGGCCGCCACCTACTGGCGATTTTAGGTTTATATCTAAAGAATATTTTCCCTTACCCCCCCCATCCACCCAAATCATTTTAAATGTCAGTATTCAACTTTTTTTTGTTTAAACATCAAAACATTATTTATGCATTTGTAACTGCAGGCTAAATGCACGCATGTCCTGCATTAAACAGTCTGTGTAAATGCATCTAAATGCCACTTCAGATGCAGATTCTCTTCCTCTGCATTGCAAACACAAATTTTGTTGATACTGATTTCATTTGATTAGTAGCCCTAATAGTGTCTTACTATTTAAATTTATTTCTTAAATTTAAGAATTTGAAACAAAAGATGATTCATATATTTAATTAGGTTAGAACATTTGTGTGTGTATCTGTGTGCGTTTGTGTGTGTGTGTGTGTGTGTGTTCAGTGGTGTTTATCCTCTGATTTCTGCTTATTTTTCTAAGTGTGTGTGTGTGAATCCAAACTGAAGCTCTCTGATCCTGAGTGGAGAATCCAGCTGAACTCCAGCGCTGAGCTCATGGATGAGACGCTACGCACTCACACACACACACACACACACACACACACACACACATATACGCACACTCACACACACGCACACGCACTCTCTCTCTCACACACACACACACGCACTACACACAAACACACACACTCACACACACGCACTACACACAAACACACACACTCACTCACACGCACACACATACGCACACTCACACGCACACTCACGGACACTCACGCACACACACTCACACACATGTGCACACACTCTACACACTCACTCACTCACGCACACACACTACACACTCACTCACACACACAAACACAATCACACACACACACCCACAGCGTATCTTTAGCTGTTTGTCTAAGCAGATGTTGGTCGTGTTTTCTGTTATCACACGGTTGGAACTAGTTAGAATCAGCTGCTGTGTTTGAGTTTATTTATAGAGCCATCAGCAGCTGAGGACCGTGATGGGCTCATGAACATGAGCGTCTGATCATCGTGAGCTCAGAGGATGTGCTGATGATGCTCTTCTGGAGATATTAGGAAGCACAGCAGAGTGACATGACACCAGACGATTGACGTCAAACAACTCGTTTCTACAAGCGTTTCATTGTGTTATGATTTAGCAGGAAGTTACTCAACATTCATCTTCAATCTGTGGCTCTTTAGAAGATCTTAATGTGTTCAGTTTGTTTTGTTCATAAATGCACTAAATTGAAGCCATGAAGAGTGTTGACTCCAGCTCTGGTGTGTGTCAGGTCCAGCTGGTGTTTGGTTTGTGGTGTCGATGGAGTCAGATCTTCAGTGTGTTTGACCGGATGCAGAGCAGAGGAGCTCAGAGAGCGTCAGCCGGATTCCCCGACTCCTCGGCGCCCCCCGCTGGACCCTTGTCACCCGTCCACAGCA